TTTTAGATTATTAGCTATTCTGAAGTTGATAAAAATCGTGGTCGAGTGCACAAAATGGATGCCATTTTGAAAATTTGTGGTGTAAATAAAACAGTCGCTGTTCATTAACTGATATGCCAATTTTCCTTATCCTCTGAATGCYTAATATACTCTGTTTACTGCAATTWTCATAAACATACAAACTCTGATTCTGCRAGCTGCACGATGAAATTTAGTYTTTTGCTGCCRTCAATCAAACCTAATCAGTCGGTGCCTTTCATTTTTTTTGACTGGCGGAGACAGAGTTCGCATGTTAATTGCAGTAAGTTACATATATATTGGCATACAAATCTAGTATATAAAGATTTATATAAAAACATTTCATGTCCAATAACACATCCCTGTAATGTTGGTTTTCATAGCTGCCATGTTGGTTGGAGTTTCAAAAAAAAATTTTTGTATCAACCAACATGGCAGCCATAGCTATTAACTTATTCCCTTGTGAATGATTACGATATGGCCTGTACTGCCGCAAGTACCCTCCCCTCCCCCCCCCCCAAGGGTCTTACTTCTTACTTACGTATTGTGCATGGTATTCATGATTACTAACCTAATATAACTAATCACCAACTTGACTGACAAGTTTATAGTTTATCATACGTTTATAGATGTTTTTAAGAGTGAAGTTTTGCCACCAGAGGTAGAATTAAGTAAGCAGATATTGGCCAGCAGGTTGTGTGATTCTTTGCGCCATAYTGGACTTGTTGTGAGTCGCTTGCACCATTATAGACAAAGAAACAAAGAATAAAGATTCAAGTAAAAGAAGAATATGGAAATTTKGTCACCCAGACTTTGAAACATCTCGAGATTTTCAAATATGGCGGAAAGAGATCACGTGGCCTGTAGTGCCTATTTACAGTTTCGTATAAATTTCAACTTAACTTTTTGATGATATTGGAATCGTGTGTGTGTGTGTGATGTTCGTGTTGTGTGACATGTTGTGGATAGACCTACCTCTGTATGAAACAATCATTGTAGTTTGTTACAAACATGACTATTAATTTATGAAAACAAATAAACATTCTTTCATCTTTTGAGTAACCTGCTGTGATTTGCGTAAATCCGCAGAGCCCGCGTTCTTCATTGTCAGTTTTGTTCCTGGTTCATTAAGATTAGAAGGGATGAAGTCTCCGCAGAGGGATTCATACCAAAAAAACAAATAACAAGCATATTTTCTGTGTGAACCGCTTTGGTAAAACTTTTTGATGGAAACGCAATTTGCTTTTGCGTCGTGTTGGAAGAATTTTCTTATTAGTTGCGTGTGTTTGTTTGTTAGGTAATGTGAACTCGARTATCTTTTTCTCCCCTTGACAAGATGGAATCTCAAGAAGCCTTGTGTTCTGTTATGTCCATCGGCCGCCTGGTGGCTAACAGATTTCTCAAGTATACATTAAATATCACGAAAAATAACCACGCTCAGCTATCTGGGATACTTGTCTGATGTACTGATAATGCGCACTCGAGGTCGAAGCGCGCAAAGAATTGTACGCATGAACAGTTTTTGTTTCCACATTAAACAGCTTTTTAAATGCCGTCCTATGCCGCCCTAGATCGGTCTTTTAAAAGTTGGTGCGCCGTCTTGAATGGTAACCGTGCCTGGGCATCGAAGGGAGAACGGCGGTRACCTTGCAATGATAAAGACATGAATAATGTTTAGGTCTCCATCACGGAACCGGAAAATTGTGAAAAAAGCGCTTCCTTTCTGAACCAATAAAAACCCAACCGAAGTACATCCGTCCAATTAATCGGACTTGGTSAACTCGGAAGTCAATATCKTGACATCAACCAGGGKATCGTGCTTTCTCCACCACGTAGTGGTCAAAGAAGGTAAGTCGGTGTCAAAAGCAGAGAGAAAGGTTGAGAGAAAAGGCGCGCTTGTGGTATCTGATGACTAAGCACGAACATCGTCCTGGATTTAACAGAAGTCATTATAAGTATTACCTGGACTGATAAGGAAAAAGGCGCAGAATACACAACRGAGATAGGCCATGATGCTGCACGCGTTCGACTATATTGGTCGGTATTTTCTTCTGTACGTAATAGCTTGGTTTTTTCCCATGTTGAAAATGAAATCATATTTTTACCCAACTTATTGTTTTTATTTCTATGTCTTTGAAAGAAAAACTGCTTTGCGTGCAGTTCGAAAACGGAACAATAACGAATAAATGTCAAAAGTTAGTGAGAAGTTTACTTTTTAAGTGCGAAATAATCAGCTTTTGAATCGAAGCATAACAATCCACCACTTCATTTTCGCACGTATAARAACAAGAGCGCAACACTTCAAGATATTTGCAAGTAATCCAGACCCATGATGCTTCAAATTGAAATACCWAGTTTATTCCAGAAGAAATAAAGCCTTTCGTAAAAGTATTGACGGAAAGGAGAAATTTCCGGGTTACGTTTTCGTACATGGGGAAGAACGTGACGCGCTCTATCAACAAATGTCAATTGAAATGCAAATTCAAATAATTGCACGCAATCGTGACGTTTCCGGCGCTGGCGCACGAATAAAGACATGCTAAAATAACATTTGTGTAYATTAAGAAAGTGGGCCAAGAATGAACGGAACCCGCTGCTTTTGATAACCTTCTTTCAAGAATTTCCGTGACAAAATTTGCCCTGTTTAAGTGGCGCAGAGGATCATAGTGTAAACCTCTAGAAAAACTAGCATGTATTACTTTTCTGATTTTCTTTAAGTTAAAGTCGGGAGTTTCCATCACCTCACTTTTATTTCTGTTTTCAAGATCAATAAACGACTTTCATAACTCAGTCTTTTCAGATAGAGAAAATGAAGCCTTTTTACCAGAAACTATTAATGCTATCCGAGAAAATACTTCACGAAAACTATTTCCAGAAAAGTTTGTAGAATTTGACTGCATACCAAAGAAGTTATGAAAGAACGAAAATAGAGAGTTTTGTACGTATTTATCAYTGGAAGCCTTGGTGGCCTCGTTTTGGTGCATTTTCAAAACTTCAAATGCTCACATCTTGTAAAGGATTTATCAATTTAAGTAGAAACTCACACGCCTTATCTAAATCAACAAGATCAATGATTTAAAAGGGTTTTCACTCCAAAAACATTGATTTTTAATGTTTATGCAAATTAGCACTACACGTAACAGGACCACAGGGTTGAAAGTCTCACGTAAAAACTGATACCCTTCCCCCTCCCCCCCCCCCTTCCCCCACCCAAAGTAAATTTTCGTCAAAGGGGAAGGGAAAGTCAGTCGCATTTACTCTCTTCAAACTTTGATGAAACAAAGCTTCTATGAAGAAAAGCAAACAGGAAATTATTTCTTCAAGTTTATTTTGTCATATTTAATAGATTTTGTGTGTGTGTGTGTGTGTATTTCGTTGCTATATTTCTTTACTTTTTATCATTTTATTTATCCTTTTTGGGGGGTTTATCACTATTGGTCTATCAAGAATGATTCTATAGCTCAAATTGCTAATGGTAAACGTACCGCGGTCCGCTATAGATTGACAAATATACAGTTAATTATTTTCACRATATAGCTTTATTCCTGTAGGGGGTATTCTGGTGTTGGATTGATTACCATCAACAATCAATAGTTTATCACGCAATCCGGTAAAAACGACACCGAAATCGCGTGAACTGACGCTTTTTTCTTCRTTTCTTTTGTTTGTTATCTCCCCTGCCAGGCACTGATACCATATTCTATTGAGATAAATTTTCGTTGCGATTTGTTGTTTATATCCGTATGTGGACGACGTTTTACATTCTGTCAAACGATCATTTCCTCTATCTCATCCATCCCCCCAGTCAATCCTACAAACATAAAATAAATTTTTCAACTTTTTAATTTCMCCTTGATAAAGACTTTGGTAATCTTTCGCGTTTATCAGGCTTCGCCAAGATCTGAATTGTTTTTCCTCCAATTTGAATTAATAATCCAAACACTTGTTGAATCCTTCATTCATAAAAAAAAMTTATAACCGAAAAATAACTACAGAAGAAAGAGAAAACGTAATGAAACTTCGATTGAATGAATGATTCCAAACTGACGAAATTATAATTTTAGATGTGAGTAGGTTTGGCCAAGTTGAAATGAGCCGTTTTATACCATTGAAAGAGTTGATCCAACTAGAAGATTCTGATATGACTGGATTTTTTCTTCCGCGCGTGACCTTGGCTTGCGTCAGGCGTCCATTCAGGAAAAGTACTATCATTGAATGTTATACTGAACAGCACCAATAAATTGCTTAATACTTCTTGCATCCATATTGACACCAACGCATTGTTATCATAACGTATCTAGCGTGAGTGACTTTGTCTGTATTACGCGGAAGGACAATATTGTCAGTAAAAGCTTTGATATTGGCCTTTTATTTTTTTACAAAAGATATATGCTCTGAACAGCCATATTTAGAGTTATTTCAAAAAAGGGTAGTCTTACCCTGTGTTTTTATTTTAGTATGATAGAGAATACACGAAAKTTGATAATGTACGAATGATAGAGGGGCTAATTTAAAAAGTATTCATATTTCTCGACCCTCTCAAGTTTGACGTCAGTACCTTTGTCAAAGTCACGAACAATTTTGCAAAATTATGSATTTTGTTCAAGTGTATACCTGACGTCGATGGCTCCTGACATGCGCTGAATTCAAAAGACTGCTTTTAATTTCCGAATATAAATATGAGATCTCATGCCTGGCGGCAATATAGTTATCAATCAGATACCCCRACCCTAGTGTCATGAAACATCACGAAAGTTCCTTAAACCCAACTCACTAGGTAAACTACGTGAATACGGTAACGAAGGGAGGTTTTTAAGATAAAGGGGATCACGTTCCTTTTAAAAAATCGTAAAAAGGGTGTCATTTTTTCGTTTGCGTGTCTAACGTGATCGTTCGAGTGTTTCGTGACGTGACCTCAAATTACCCAGAGTTCGTCTGTGGTGTTTGTATTGCGTGACGCAAGCGCAGTAAAGGCGCTGCCACATGTGCGTTGTTCCAAAGTTCGAACAAGAAGCACAGAGGGACAAGAAGCCGGTTATGGACGCTTGAAAATCACTTCCAAACCTGAATACTACCAAACCGAGCGCCCTGTACCCTACTACGATCTTCCTAGTTGCTGGTATTGCAACTKTGAACTACCATGAGGTCGTGTGAATGGTTTTAAAGGCTGTTTAAAAGAGTATGGATCGGGTTTAGTGCTTGATGGCTTTGTGCAAGAGTCGTTGTAGCGGGTTCATGGCTCTCCCTACAACTCACTCCCAACGAACACCCGTCTTTAACAACAACAGACATTATGCTCCACAGCAGATGCAGCAACAAGGAAACCACCCAGACAGACCCATAGGATATGGGGCTTTTGGGGTAGTTTGGTTAGTATTTCCCGAGAATTATATCCTGTGGGTTTGAATTATCGAGGGTGAATATTTTCGCGTCATGTCTCACTCAGGTCAGTGACAGATCCTCGCAATGGCAAAAGAGTGGCTTTGAAGAAAATTCCCAAGGTCTTTGAGAGTATTACATCCTGTCGAAGAGCCTATCGTGAACTACGAATGTTATCCACCTTCAAACACGATAATGTAAGTCGTATCCATTGTGTATGAACTATTTTCTGGCTGTGTTTATGGTGTCATTAAAATGTAAAACCAGAAAGGGAGACGAGAGGGGAGCTTTGCTTGGACAAGACTTCCGCGCATAGCATTTACTTCTTCCTTATTTTTCTTTCTGTTTCCAGGTACTATCGGCAGTAGATATAGTCCATCCTGGCCACATCGATCTATTCAATGAGATGTATCCTAAATATCTAAGAGTTTAGTTGGTAGATAAATTTAATATTGTAGCGTGACATGCTCWCAGAACTATGAATTCAAAGCGCATAGGAGGGGCGGCTTTCTTCATATGKCGACCTCTATTCTACTCGACTTACATGTAATAAGTCCTTCGTCTTTCTCTTTGGAGGGGATATTTTCAACCCTTTATGCGACAAAAATCATTTATGGCGTTCAGCTTTGGTTTGTGTTTRTGTCTATGTAACTGTGGCGTCCTCGAAGCTTCGATATTCGAAGGGCGCCCGACTCTCCACTGGTTTTGGGGGAATATTTATGGATATTAAAAAAGCAAAGCATTTTTGTGGTTTCGAAAGCATTCGTGGCGTTCTCCTTGAAATTCCTTCATTTTACTTGAAATTTAAGCTTGCTTTTAATATTTTACTGGCAAAAATAAAAGCTTTTCGTAGCGTCACCTGTTGAACATGAATAGTCTGCTATAGAATGTCATATTAGCATAAAATAAAGAACTTGAAAAATCGCTTTCAAAATAGCGGTGTGTTTTGACTTACTACAAGAGGAATTCGAATACACCTCTAGTTCTTTATAATTCCATTTTAGTGGTGTTGAAGATAAAGAGAAAAGATAGCGAAGAAATTTATGAAATACAACGTTCTCTTTAGATGTAAAACTTCCGGCCAAGTTCCTTTGTGATGTTCATAACAATGAATGGACCAACAAAATATTAATGTTACTCATTCAAAAATATTTCATTCTGCCATAAATAGCACTGTTTTTGCCTACTTCTTTYAACTTATATTTAGTCGGTTTCGAGTAATATATACAACTATCTCTCTAGGGTTGATATTATTTATAATGCGAACTTGTTGTCAAAGAAACCCAATTCAGCGCCTAGTATTTAATATAGCCAGATGTCATTTCTTATGTATCAGCTGATGAGCAGATCTGTAGTGTAAAGGAGGCTTTACTATAGGAGTTGTATTTTGTTATTTCAAATGTCACACGATTATTTGATAAATTCATTTTTTTTAATCAAAAAATATTTTTTAAAGTTATCTAGTACTATATTTTACGTTTTAATTCGCGGAATCTTTAGGATGAATGATCTGATTTTTGATGGGTGTCTTCTAATRTCTGAACTACAGCCTCTTTACATAATAATAATAACGGTATATGTTAGGTACAGGAGGATTAATAAGCTGTGATTAAACATTAGCATTTATGTAGGTAACCATTCATAAATGGTTTAAACCAGAAAGCATATATTGAACCAAGAACAAATCCAAAGCTAAATTTTTTTATAAAACTCCTTGGCTTTTAGTTTTCCAAAAATTCAAGTTTAAGTCCTTAAGTTAACATAAAACATWTGTGTAAAGTATGAAGGAAGAAAAGTAAAACATAATAAATGTTTTGAATGCATACCATTCCAATCATTTTATAAATATTTGAGGTGCACCAAGCCCTAAGAAAAGACAGGGCTTTTGCTATGAATACTACTTCTTTTCTCCTTAACTTTGATTTAAGTTATGTTGTTTCTGAGTTGATGCAGTCTGATCTCCATAAAATCATCGTATCTCCACAACCACTCACAGCAGATCACGTTAAAGTTTTTCTATATCAAATTTTACGAGGTAAGTTACTTTTTCTTCATTACATTCTACAAATTCCTATTAGTTAGTATTTACTATAAGCGATATATTTACCATTAGTTAATAATGGACCCTTCTCAAAAGTATCATGCACATGGATACCAGGTTAACATGGAAATACAAATACTTTTCTCAATGGAATTTGTGGCATTTCTTTTGAATTTCCATGTTAACCYCGCATTCAAGGCAATTTTAAGAAGGATCCATTGTTGATTTTTTGATTTCTAACAATTTGAATACTACATTTAATAATTTTTTTCTAGTCTACTATAATTTATTTTACTATGATAGCTTACCTTTTGATTGCTTTTGAGCAAAAAATTCTTAGGGAAATTTTGTTTTACCATAATTTAAAGAAAAAAATTTCCATTCATTTTGAAGACAAAGCTTTCAAATTTCTAAAGGTTGCTGGTGGTAATTAAGTCCCGGGGGGGTACTCCGCCAGAATTTGGGTAGGGGTGTTCCGCTGGGATTCTGAAAGGGGTACCCTGTTTATGACAAAAAAAATTGTATTTGTAGACCCTGTTTATGACAAAAGATATAATTAATTGCACTGAGTTCCTGTTTCAATATCATGTCATCTCACGTATCATTTTTTTACGACCATGGTAACCAGTTTCAGTCAATATGAAAGTAGAAATCCTGAATATGACAAGAAACTCAGGAAGAATTTGGACCTTGAGTGAAATTGCATACCCTGTTTATGACAAGAAGCTCAAAAAACCATACCCTGTTCAGCGGATCATCCCCATATAGATCATATATGGGAGTACCCCCCCGGGAATTAAGTCTATTTTGGTCTTGAGAAGAAATTTTGTCTTTACATGTACATAAATTACCCTGTTGAATATACAAAACATTAATAGTTTTACAGGGATGTGGGAGCCACAGGGGCTATGTTTTGAGAAATAATTTTCCAAATTTACCATTTGTAATAATGCTRAAAYACTCACARTAATAAAACTAAATTCTTATATTCAAAAGTAAGAGAAGCACAACTCATACCAGTAGGTGCACGCTTTCAGAGAGAAAAGCAACAGCTACAAAAAAGAAAATAGGGACTGTAAATATGCACTTCAAAATTAAAGTTGCTGGAGTCTTTTCAGAGGACAAAATTAAAGTATCTGTGATTATGTAATAAAATGTAAACTGATATATTCTTTGCATGTAACCTAWTATTGGATGTTTCTTTCTGTTATTCCAGGAGTCAAATATCTTCACTCATCAGGAATCATACATCGCGACATCAAACCTGGAAATTTATTAGTTAATAGCAATTGTCTCTTAAAGGTAAATAAAATCTGTGCTATGGGTGTGTTAAACTAGTCGTTCCAAGGGTGTGTTTATTGTGTACGCCCTGATTCCTATGACTAGGGCCATGTTTACATAAATGAAGGGATGGTCCAGTGTAACAAGTCATTTTGTTCAACCAGAAATTTATTAATGCAGTAGTACCTCTATTAAATAGGCCTTGCCTGGTGTCAGGTTAATAAGGGGAGTGGGCTGTTTGTTTTCGGTAAATATACAACTTAGCGGTTTCTTTAATAAAGGATATCCACTTAATAATAAGGGGTTTGCTTAATAGATAGAGGTACTACTGCCTGTTACAGGACAATGTACAGTCATATCTCTTCATTGTTGATCATTTTGACCAGTAACACTGAGCCAGAAACAAGGTATAACAGAGCTAAAAATAATTTGGCTGGTAATCAGGGCTGGAGATTGGCCATTATTTTAAGACTTAGTTTCTCAATGTAGCAAAAATATCCAAAACATTCTACTTATTTTCTTCTTAATCCATTCTATTCTTTTAGATATGTGATTTTGGTTTAGCACGCATGGAGGAGCCCAATGAAAGTATTGTGATGACACAAGAGGTAAATACACTATTTCTAGATTATTTTACAATAATGGTTAAACTCGACTTCATGTTCAAAATCAAGGTAAAACATGTGAGGCCCTATCTAAAACTTTTTGATGGTTGTGGGCTTTCAGTCCACATGTAAACGATTAAAATGCTCACTTTAAATGCATAGTTTCAAAAAACCTGTTTACATCTTCTCTTGTARATTATTCTATTGATAATAATACAAATAATTATAAAAAAGATTCCCAACGCATCACTAGCTAGGTACATTTTATTTTAATACTCCAATTTTCTTTTCAAACATTTTAGGTTGTGACCCAGTATTACAGAGCTCCAGAACTGCTMTCAGGAGCCACATACTATACCCAAGCAGGTAATAAAAAGTTGTGTACTAAGAAAAAACAGTGCCTTGGTTAACTTACATACAATTTGTCTGATTAACAGTGGATATATGGTCAGTGGGTTGCATTTTTGCTGAGCTTTTGAGCAGAAAAATTTTGTTTCAAGCAGAAAGCCCAGTCCAGCAGGTAAGCAGTTTTTGGAATTCTTCATTCTACTTCTATAAAAATCAAAATGATTGAGTGACAGGAGCGTAGCCAAGAGTTTCCCAAGGGGGAGTACCAAATTTWAAAAAAACGCCATTTTGTCTGTGACTCCAAAATGCTGAACTAAAAATGTTTTTGAAAATTAGCATATAAATTCAAAAATTCTGCCATTTTGTTGCCACGAAGGGGTTGCCTGGCCTCCCTTGCCTATGTCCCTGGGTGACTTGCATTGATTGAATGAGTTTTTCTATCATGTAGCTTTATCAATCAATCATGTGTGTGTATACATATATATATATATTAAGCAGTTAATATTCTTTTGGCTGTAGCTTAACCTTATAATAGACTTATTGGGAACACCAAGCTTAGAAGATCTTGCCAAAGCTGGTGCCAGTGATGGAGCGACTAAATACATCCTACAGAGACCACACAAACAAGTAAGCGAATGTACTATAAAAACTTTGTATGATGTATGTCATACTTTTGGTTTGAGCATTTTTATTATTGTTTTAAGTAGTGAGAGTTTGAGGGTGTGGCTTGTATGTAAGGTACGGTTTGGGGAACATGGTACATATTGTATTTATTTGTATTGCTATATATTAATGATATAATAATAGTTAATATTTCCCTTGTAGCCTTCACTTGCCACCCTGTACAACTTATCTAACCAGGCCACACATGAAGCTGTTCATTTACTGTGCCGAATGCTAGTTTTTGATCCTGTAAGTCATGAATGCATTTTAATTTATGTACAAGAGAGGCTGAGATAAAATTCTTTCAGCTGTTGTGGGTGTACTATTGTGGGTTTACTGATTTACCGGACMTGATGACTATTAATCTTTCAGAGCAAAAGAATGACTTGTACAGATGCACTATCCCATCCATACTTAGACGAAGGAAGATTGCGTTACCACACATGCATGTGCCCATGTTGTCACAACATGCCCRGAGGAAGGCAATATGTTTCTGGTGAGAACTCAGATTTTAAATTTATACATATAGAAAAGAAAAAGACTGTGTTAATGGGAAGTCTTGCATTTTTTATGTACTCAAAAAAGGAGAGAAGACAAAGTATTGGTTTATATCAACGGGTGTATACACCTATTACAATGGATGTTGTCATCGCCGATAGGTCATTCTGACATGGAAGTGTTCTTGACAAGAATAAGAAGCAGAAACGGGTCATTCCAGAGATTGTTGGATCTTGGAATGGCCTTTCTCCTATCACCTTTGACAACATATATTGCAACTCAATAGACCCACATGTAATCACAGTTATTTCAACCCAGAGAATGTGTCATTCCCCATGAGTACTACTTCACTCACTTACCAGTTCTACTATCACAGATGTGTCACAAACAAAACAAAAAACACAACCAATAACCAGTAACTTTTCCTCAATTCAGAATTTGAGCCTGCAAATCCCAAGCTATTTGATGACAGTTATGAGGTGAATCTGAACACAATCCCAAGGGTAAAAGGTTAGTATTCCCTAACAKAAGAGCTTTTGCTGTAATCTATAAAATGGTTTTATTAATGTGTTGTATCTTTATGTTTCAGAATCTGTTTATAAATTTATTTTGGAGAGGCAGAAAAACTCTGTTCCACTGTGTATAAATATGGCATCACCATCGTACAAGAGTTTTCAGAGGTAAATAGACAACTTGAAAAATTTTTAATGATCTTTTTTGGGATAGATTTTAAGGAATCAGCAGTTTGATTAACAACCATTAAAAAACACTCCCCAGTCCCCTTTTCCCTCCCCCCCCCCCCCCCGAAAAACACTATTTTGTCCTGACAACAAATGATTTTATCATTTTGCACATTTTATTTTTGCCATTGATGTACTAATATTTATGTCTTGGTTGTTTTGTAGATCTGGGGTTGCACCTCAGCCAGACAAGGCCGGCTCTCCACAACTGTGGTAACAATTTCCAACCTGTTGACAACTTAATTACTGAAAGGTCTTGAAATTTCCAGCTTCTGAATAGATCTCAGCTGCCTCAAATGTTACTGATTAATCATCTTCTCTTACTGTGCAATTATTATTATTATTCTATTCTCTTAGCTTCTTAGATTAGATACACAAGTATCATCTTTTAGTCCAGTGCATCAAATGTGATCGTGCCAATACAAGTTTTAAGATTATCGCTAAGTTTTTCATGTTTATTTCCATTCTTTTTGCTCAAGAGAAAAGAAAATTCTTACTCGTTTGTGCTAATTGGGCTTACTGTGCTTGGATGTACAGTGCTACAAGGATGGGTGTGGATGTGTAGAAAATGTTTTAGGATACCAAACCTTTTTAAAACCAAAGGTGGGAGAGGGAAAGGATGGATTGATTGGCCAGACAGGACTTTCAATGAATTCTAAGCTGATAGAAAGCACAAATACATTGAATGCTGTTTGTTGGCTTAATTCTGTCCCATTTCATGATATTCACGATCCATCCCAGATGYGCACAAAGTCAGATTCATCCAAATTTTTAAAGTGATAAGTCGTCATCCACAAAATATTCATACCATCACCACAAACTTGATGTAGATACTGGCTAGTTTTGAGAAAAGACTTTYATGAAATTGATAGGCATTTTAATGACAATGGAAATTGAATCGACCGCAACTCAACAATTTATTCTCTACTCACCTTATACTGTTGCAGTATAGTTTGCATATATGAATGGTTCGAAGCCTGCAATAGTATTAAGTTACAAAGGTGTGCAATTCTGAAGTCATTGTTTAAGATGTCTTAGCGATATCTTAAAAAATATCRCCAGTTACTCCATATTACCAATTTCTTACATTTTGTCATTTCCAACTTTTTATGCTATATTTTATCCATGGTAGTTCCAATCATAAACCCCTAAAAAGAATCCTACAATGCTTTATTTTCTGCTTTTGATAAAAATTTATTCATTTCAATTTCATTAAATAAAAAAATCCAAAAGAATAAATTTTACATCAAACGCAGAAAATGAGGCATTGAGGGATTCATTAAAAGGGTCTATAAAAAGTTGGTATCTCAAACGCTAGACTGGCTAGAAATTTAATCTTATATAGTGAAGGTCCTATAGTCCTGCTTATGGATATGATTTTGAAGCTCGTACCTTTGTATGGATATATTACAGCTTGGGAGGGGGGAGGGGGAGCAAAATTAGAGGCTTCTAATCAATCAATGTAAGGGGGAAAAAATCTTTTTAACGCTGCTGTTTTTTCCCCATTCTTACAATGTTTTCTATGAAAGAATTATAAATATTTGCTCTGTTCAAGTTGCAAAAACCAATTTGGAATTGGAATCTTGTGAATGTTTCTGCAATTGTATAACTTGAAAAGGGAAAGATAACAAGATCTGCCAGAATTGTATATCATATTGCTCTAGCTGCATCTAGTAAATTTATGGATCATGATTTGCTTTGAGTTCTTCAAACTATGGTAACTTTTTGGAAAGAACRTATATAGTTACTAAACCTGTGAAATAGATATAATACTACTATATATGCATAGACCCYAATTCCATTTTTTTCTTTTATATCTCTTTGACTATTACACGGTGACTAGTATTTTTTATTTCACGGGTTAAATGCCCTCACTCCATTAGTTTAGTATGTACTGGCATTTATTTCTTTGCCTTTTTCTCTAGTGCAATTGAAGAAATGCGTATTCACAGGATATGTAAAAACACATCTTTTCTTTTTGGATGTGTATAACTATTCTTAGCTAGCTAGGTAGGCTTTTCCAATTTTTCCATTCTAAGGCAGAATAAAATCAACTTGTTCTGTGATTTAACACACTATGGTACAACATGGACAAAAATAGCTTGATTCGTAGTCTTTAGTAGCTTAGATACAAGTAATAAGAATGCTATACCAAGTAAAGGGCCCTGATTATCTTTACAATCAATATTGAAAATTGAATTTATCTTGTTGGCTGGACCCAACAGAATGCACATAAATCCTAGAGAAAATAATTTGACATGTAGAATATTCAGGAATTATAGATGCAGGGAATGAAAATGAGATGTAGGAGTAGCATGCTTGACACAGGCAGTTGGGTAAAAAAAAGGAGTGTCCAGATTTTGCAGCCACATGTCGGGGAATGTATAGCATTTCTATTATTTTTCAAGAAAATCTGCAACAGCTCATTTAAAGTCAGCATAAATTCAAATCGAACATAGTATTAGGTGAGCTTGGTATAAAGATATGTAAGTCTGACATTGTAATATGGGGACAAAACAATGTCCTTATTCAATCAAAATCTTAATTTTGTACATACTAGCAGTTCTTACATTGAGGTTAATAACCTTATAGWACAGTGCCAAGACCATATCTACCAGCTAATAATCCAGTGATTTTGAACRTTTTGATCCAGCACTGAAAATAGTGAGCTAAAAATTGACACTACGAATAAATAAGATTTCTGCTGATTTTAAGTGGGCTGCCCTTCTAGTTATCCTTTAACAAAGGATGCAAAAAAAATTTTTTGTTTTGTATATTTATTTCCTAAGTTTTTGTATTTATATATTTTGCATTGTAACATAGCTCYGCACCGCTGATGTATAAAAGAATAATCATAGTATATCTGTGACACTGATTTACCAGAAATAACTATCGTAAAACCCATTTAGATATTGGTTCACAGATRAATTGTGATTATTCTATCATGTTGATTACCAAGAATATAAATTAATCAAAATAAAATAAAATCCTTAAAAAATATCAATTGTTTTGTTGTTGTTTAAATTGATGTTCTGAAGTCTACCCCTTTTAATCTTGTTTCTGCTATTGACCCTCACAGTGTGAATCGAAAAACCATGGGCACCTAGAAATATTCTAGGAATGTTCTRTTCTTCTTTGGCCAATTAGAATTGACTTTCTAACCACAAGATAACGGAAAGATTATAACAATTCTGATTGCCTATTGAACATTCTTGAAATTTTTCTAGGTGTCCACATTTTTTCAATTCGCACTGTAATGTAAAATAAATAAATCCCACAAAGCCTTATTTTCTGAGTTTGACATCAAATTTATTCTTTTATATTTTTTTATGGAATTGAAAAAAGTAAGTTCCAAATGAAAAGAGCAAACTTGTGGTATTTATTAGCAATGCCTTTATTTTATTTTCTAAGGCTTTCTACCTTTGAGGGTACACTGAGGTCCTTGTGATTTCTATACCATGCATATAATGTTATACAGCATGATGAACTCTTGTCAAAATTTATGGTTCATCGTCCTCTTTGTGATGTCATACACTAAGTTTAACCAAACATTTCCTCATAACTACAGAAGAAAAGGAAAACTTCTYGTTTGAACTAGAAGAAAAGACTCRGCATGAATATTAGTTTGAAGAAAACATTTGGAATTGGATATTTTCTTTGAACAGAACGAAACAAAAGACTTGSTGGATCAAGGGATTCTATATAAATATTCCCACAATGCTTTATTTTCTGCACCTGACATCAAATTTATTTTCATCAATTTCATTCAAAAAAAACAAATTTCAGAAGAATATATTTGACCTCAAACACGGAAATTAAACTAATTCCTCAAACATAATTTCTTCATCATATTCATTTTTTAATTTAATTTAATTATCATCTCCAAAAAAGATTTGATTAAATATGATGAAAGCATTGCTTACGTTCTATCGGAAGCTGAAGAGATACGTGGCTGGCCCCTCCCCCTTAGGTGACTACTTTTGCCTTCACTTACCCCTCCCTGATGCTCTTCCTTTTTGGTCGTGTAGACATCAAGATGGCGGCTGCATCACCCGAGCACGCAAAGGAACTAGAAGGATGGTTTTACCCAACGGAAGAGAACMAAAAATCTGCATATATCTCAAGCATGGAGCAATATAATTCCATGTACAAAARGTCTCTGGAAGATCCGGCAGGTTTTTGGGGAGATGTAGCAAAAGAATTTCATTGGCAAGTCCCGCCAAAACCCGAGAACTTTTTGAATTACAACTTTGACTTGAACAAAGGCCGGGTGGATGTAAAATGGATGGAAGGAGCAAAGACTAATATATGTTATAATTTGCTGGATAGACACGTTAAGAATGGCTTAGCAGACACCGTGGCGTTTTACTGGTAGGTATTACAGTGTTTATCATAAATTTTATTAGCTTAGTTCGTGCGTGCTGTAGACAAAACCATCGAGCCTTTCAATAAAGCTAGTGACGTGGAACCTTATAAAACCTTATCTCTATAAACTCCTTATAGCTATACCATTAAATTTCCCCCCGAATTAGTCATTCTAAGGTTTGCATGAAATATGCTGAGGTGAAACCCGTAGTACAATAAGTTAAACTTCAAAGTTCACACTTTAAAACATAAACAAAGTATTCCTTCGGCGTCCCTAAATACAAAAACAATATCCATCATTTTTTCTCACAAACAACGAAATGCAAATATTTTTTTCTTGTTAATTGTTTATTTTAAGTTGTAAGTGTTGAAGGATGGGATTTGTATTGAGTGGTGTGATTTCTCGTGCGGTTTGTTAAAACAATGAATGAAATGTGATCTTCGAAGTGAGTCGAGAGTACTTGGTAGTTTGGGAGGAGTGGCCATACGACAAAGATAAAGTCTTTCAATATCTATATCAGTTTGTCTGTCAGCTTTGATAATTARCATATTTTGCATTTACATTTACCAATAATTTTAGACAGCTCTAAATAAATGAAGTTTTTCAAATAAAGTAAATAAATAAATGTTTGAAATTGCACTTGTAGCCAATGTGCTGTTTCCTTTAGGAGTCTATTTCATTCAATAATATTGTTCTTGGATAAAAATGAATACTTGTAATAATCTCTTATAGCCATTGGCTGTATGTAAGCCTACTGCATTTGATATTTGAAAATATCCATTACTCATTAATAATCAAAGCCGTAAGCAGAATATTGATATTCATCCTGATATCATCTATTGTGCAGCTCCAGAAATTACCTATACCCCCTCCCCCCCTCCTCCCCCACACTCCTACCCCCAGAAATTCCAATTTTTTGTAATTTTGTTATTTCTTTGACCACCCAACCTCACCCCTTGGATATTCAAAATTCCTCGGGGAGGGGGGGGGGGTTGGATAATTTCTGGAACTACGCATTGACAGTAATGTGCCAACCATTCTTTTGAATGGGTAATGAAACAAGGACACATTAAAATTTTTCCAATTCAGTATCCTAAGAAATCATACTTTCGGTTTGGATGCCAGAGCAGGCTGTATCTCTGATYGCAGTCCAGTATCCTGGGTTAAATTGATGTTGTTATCCAATAAATTTATCCACKGGATAAAATTATCCGTCAGCTAGTGCTATCCACCCTTCCTACAACCAGGCCCTGTAATTTAAGTTTTTCACTGTCATTAYGAAGTTTGCCTCACAGTGCATGAAGTTTGTTCCAGCCTTAGTTTATGAAGTAAAGCTACTTGGTTGTTACTCATTACAATCATGCATGATTCATTAAATCATTATTATTAAAATGATAATTTGTGTATTTTTATTATTAGGGAGGGGAATTCCCCAGGCGATGAAAGAAAGATTACCTACGGGGAATTGCTCAAAGAAGTTTGCAAGTTTTCTAATGTACTATGTGCCAAAGGTATGATTATTTATAATATAAAATGTAAAATTGCTTAGCATGTTTGCAGGGCCAAAAGTGATGGGTAGTCATCTATTAAAGAATGTATGGCCAGAATTGAAACTCGTTCTGCCTAATCTATGCCTGGAGCAGYAATATTGGGCTAGAAATGAGGTATGGCTGAGCTAAAACCATTTGGCCAGTCATAAGGACCAGCAACTGACCAGCCGTTATTTTTTGTCATGGTTTCTGTTTGAGACTGTTAGTTGTGTCATAAGTCTTCAATATTGTACTTTTTAGGGGTCATGAAAGGTGATAGGGTTGCCATTTACATGCCAATGATTATAGAACTAGTTGTTGTAATGCTGGCTTGTGCAAGGATTGGAGCTGTCCATTCCATCGTGGTGAGTTGAAGTTCCAAAGTGTCCRATATCGTGGAGTTTTTAATTGAATCATCAATCATATTGTGTGACCAATGTTTATGTGTGACCCATGTCATTGTGTGACCCGTGTCATATTGTGTGACTGATCTTTGTCACTTATGTCATTTTGTAACTGATATATTTTGTGACCTATGTCATATTGTGTGACCCATGTCATCATGTAACCAGTCATATTGTGTGACCAATGTCATATTGTGTGACCAATGTCATATTGTGTGACCAATGTCATATTGTGTGACCACATATTGTGTGACCAATGTCATATTGTGTGACCACATATTGTGTGACCAATGTCATATAGCATCAGTGTGAAAAGTGCATTGTTAGATAGAGCATGTGAAGTGTATAGTATGAGTGTGTGCATCATTGCATCATTGCAATAGCTATTCACCAAGCTGTATAAAAAGTATTACCTTGGCAGCAAGAATAAGATTGTAGTCAGCGCATTTCATTTTTTTCATCCTTGTTTATTTTTATTCTATTTGAAACAGTTTGGAGGGTTTTCTGCTCACTCATTGGCCGAGAGGATCTTAGATTCAAAGTGCAAGGTTTTAGTTACTGCAGGTAAGCAGAAGAGTACAGGTCATGACAAAATATAAGAGATTTCATAAACTGTATGAGTGTGAACAGTATAAAACAATACTCTGATTGGATGAATTACGGAAAGACAATGAATAACATGTCAGCATGCTGTAAGATAGTACTGGGGCCGTRTTTACCATTTAAAACAATCCATCCGGATTGGAAATAATTATAATGCTCATGTTAAGAAAAGAGCAGAAAACTTCCAACAAACGTTGCATGCGTCTACTGGAAGAACCAAAGAGAGCAGGRAAAATGGATTACCTTAATCTCAAGACTGAGTTTTTCCAACTTTCGGATCAGAATGATGCATAGGGTTTGTGTTTCCAACTGGAATTTCCTGTTTTTCAGGTAAATTGAAAGCACCCCTGTACATTTCCCAGTCATATGGACAACTGAAAAACTTGGTCATATTCTAATTTTGTTTCATTTCTTGATCCTGTATTTAAAGATGGTTCGTATAGAGGTCTTAAAATGATTAACTTGAAAGAGATTTCTGATGATGCCAAGAAAATCTGTGCTCAAAGGTAAATCAAAGAGATTGTCACTTTCTAGGGAAAATGCCTTGACGACTCTTACCACTTCTCATGAAGAGGTAAGGAAGATGACTAATTAACCAAAATTGGAATCAAAATACTTCAATGTCCATTAAAAGACATGAAACGGTTGTCTCTCATTGGTTGAGCGGGAATTTTATTATTGCTCATTCGGATTGGAATGAACTCAGCCCATTGTAAGTTAAATTGATGGAAGCCAGAGTGCCAGCTGTCTTGAGTCAGTAGGTCACACGATAATAAAAAGCGCTGTAATGTATATTTCATTGATGGATTTTTTATACATTTTGTTTAGTGAATTCATAGTTGAGACCTGCATTGTAGTCCAACATCTGGGAGCAACCAAACAAGCTGAAAATGGTGCAGCAGACAGTCCTCCTCCTAAAAGACCTTGTAAAAGTTTGAGTGTAAGTATTATTAATTAGTATTCATCCCACTAGATTATATTTATATATATTTCTTCTGTCTGTATCCATCCATCCATCCATCCATATATCCATCCATCCATCCATCCGTCCATCCTTTTACCTATCCATCCATTTTTAATTTTATCATCATTCTTTTTGTCTTCTACTCATTGATCTGCCTATCCATCCATTTATACATTAAATCCTAATTCCTTCCATTCACTCTGCCATCCATTGATCCATTTCTCCCTCTACCCTCTACCCTCTAACTTCTACTCTCCATTTATTCATTTGTTCATTTATTTTTTACATATTCTACTTCCTGTCCATCTCTGGARGGAAAAACAATAATGCTTGGTTCAACTATAGCACAATGACGATTTCTAAACACAATTTCATTTCCCCTCAAGACCCCATTTGAAGAGAATGTAGACTTTTGGTACCACGACTTGATGGCAACAGCAAGTGACAAGCATGAGGMAGTCTGGGTGGATGCTGAAGACCCTCTCTTTATGTTATACACAAGGTACAATACTACATTAATACACCAATAGTTATTCAGACAATGATATAATTTATATACTCATGCACCTATAGTGTAATGTTTTTACTGAGAAAGACTTATATTTATTTCGTAACTAAGATTTCTGTTTTCAAAGTTGTGAGCAAAGAGACAAAGATTGGAAATTGTGTCATATTTATAACATCCATTACATGGTTCATATTTGTTAGTGACTTGTATCATTTGAAAAGGGAGAGGGAAAGAGAGAGACAGGGGACTTCATTTGCACTTTTGAAACAGCCCTCTGCATACACACAGGCTAAAAATGGCTCTCAAATGATTTGAATGTAATATTAGTAATTTGTTAATCTAATGGTATGTTATTRTTTCAGTGGTTCAACAGGAAAGCCAAAAGGTTTGACCCACACAACGGGTGGCTACATGCTTTATACAGCAGTCACTTTTAAGTAAGTAAAAAAAAACCTCTTACTCTCTTCCACATCTATCACTCATTTAATGAAGGGTAGCACAAGTTACATAGTAGTGCGTGTACTGACCTGTCCCGAGTCCTACTGGGCTCGATGTCATGTGTGAGTAGCTCAGTYGTTGTTGGTTCTCTGTTCTCTGTTTTTTCTAACCCATCTTTTTACTTTCATAATTATATTGAATTAGTCACTGGGTGTATTGGCAGGTGTTTTTGGACCATTAAGCATTTTTTTATAATTGATTATTTGATTGACAGATATACCTTTGATTACCACCCTGGTGAGATATACTGGTGTACAGCAGATATCGGGTGGATTACTGGTCATAGTTACATCACCTACGGYCCCATGGCAATGGGTGCGACTAGTGTACTGGTAGGTTTCATATCAACTTTATTATTTATATTAAAACGTATTGAAATCTAATAGACATATGTGGCATAATTTGTAGCATTCTGTGTATCATGCTACAGCACTGCGGGGGGGGGGGGGGGGGGGGGGTGTGCATTCAGGCCGGTTTCGCCATCGCCCTCAAGTATAATCCTAGAAATCAGGGAAAACCTCAAATCAATAAACTCTATATAAACTCTATATACATATTGAAAAAGAATGCATTGGTTTAGGAAGAAGAATGGATGTAATTTCATTTTGTTGAATAATAATTATAAAGGGATTAGACATAGTCAAACATTAACATTGTATGTTTAGTTTGAAGGCACTCCATTCTACCCTGATGCCGGTCGTTTCTGGGAAATTGTTGATAAATACAAGGTCCAGAAGTTCTACACTGCACCAACCGCAATCAGGGCTTTGATGAAGTTCAAGCATGAAATAAAGAAGTAAGTAATAAAYCAGTGAACTGCTTTTGGTCCCAATAGATCTTTAATATCCATCTTGGTGCAATGTTTTCCCCATTACAAACCATGTGTTATTCCCCAGCTAGAGTATTTTTCACTATGTTTAATGGTTGGAATGTGTAGTTCCAAACATTATCCATACCCGCCCCTCACAGAGGAAGTTTTTTAAGACACCCCCCTACCCCCCAGAAATTCCAATTGTCTTCCATACAAACTTTGTAATTTGTTTTCTTTCTCTGACCCACCTACTCTTTGGAAATTCCAAATTCCTCTGTGGGGTGGGTATGGATGATTTCTGGAACTAAACAATGCACCAAAATATGGATATACAAAATCAAACAAAGAATCTTGAGAGAATACCTCGTAGTCTGAAATGAGAAAACATTGCACCAAGATCAATAAGGTCTTTTATGCACGTCTTGATAGCTGTCATCTTAGCTTAATTTTAACAAAAAAGTGTCATTAGTATCTTATTATTATTAACCAATAAATCTAACTTGTTCTTTTGCTATGGATGGCATAGGGGTGATGGTGTAGACCTCTTGCCAATGTGACCCAGTTTTAATCCCCTAACATGGAGGTTTATGTGGGTAAAGCTTGTTCTTTCCTGCACTTTGAGATTTTTATCCAGGTTCTCTGGTTTTCCTCCATCCAAATTTGATTTCAGAAATTCGGTGGAAGAAAATTCTCTCTTAAAAAWGTCACTGCAAGTAATCTGCTTTCATTCTATATAGGAAATGATTATAAAAATAAAGTAAATATCTTTATTTAAGTGTCTAGCCATTTTTGCACTAATTGGGGACGCTTTTAGCTCACTCACACTACCACTACATTCAATATTCTATGCACACAATGCTCAACTCACATGTTGATTTTTACGGAGGGAGGAAACCAGAGAACCCAGAGAAAACCCTCGTAGCATAGGAGAGAACACGTCAAACAAACTCAATTCACATGTGGTGACCGAAGGGCTCGAACCAACAATCCGACCCATTGGACTCGAAATGGTGAAAGACAACGCGTTAGCCACAAACGCCACCCATACTACCCATGCTGAACCTTATCCAAAAATAGTAAATGACATTACTATTTTCACGTCTACCACAGGCATGATCTCAGTAGTCTGAGAATTCTTGGAACAGTAGGTGAACCTATTAACCCTGARGCATGGCTGTGGTACTATCGAATCRTCGGTCATGAGAAATGCTCTATAGTGGATACTTACTGGCAAACTGAGACTGTAAGTATTCTTTAACTAGTGCAGTTTTCGTATGACTGTGAAAATGGCA